TGGCTCAGCAGTTAACCACTGACTACTCTTACAGGTGCAAACCCAGGTTTGCACCCACATGGCAGCTGACAACAGTCTGTAACTCCAGTTCCAGGGGATCCAACACCCTCTTATGACCTCTGTGGGTATTGCACGACATGGGTGCACTTAAACACATGCAGGCAATACACTCATACACACAAAATAAAAATAATAAACATTAAAATAAACAAACTTCTATACATGTGGAAAACAAGTCTACCATCAAACCCAGCCTGATAGGGGAGTCTAGAAGGGGGAGATGTCCCACTAAGAAGCAGACTCCACCATCCCAACCCATCACACCCTATTTCAGAAATTGCCTTGTCCCTTCCCTGCTGTCACTTCTTTCCCTGAACACGAGGGCGAGTAAAGCGGCTCACCACCTTCTACAGACAGCATGTAGGCAGCTTCCAGAAGATAATTTGATTCTTGGTTCTTACATAAAAAATGCTAAAATCTCACTTTGACTTTCTGTATCTTTTTGTGAATTTACAAAGCGTAACATGCTCCTGGCTTACTAGATCTGGGAGAAAACTGACTGCAGGTTGATTACAAGGTACAATAGGCTTTGCGTCCACATTTACTCTTGAAATAATACTTTGAGACTTTAGTGGATACCTACTTATAAAGTAACTGGGATTTCAATTACCTTGCCAAAATAGCTTCCCTGCTTAAGAAACTCAGTACCAGGTGAAACACTGAAGGACTGAACCTCTGGTTCATCATAGATACATTCTGAAAGTCAGAGTGAAGAAAGAAGCATTTATACTCGCCGTGGAGAAGGCATCTATAACTAGTGTGAGTTGGCAAAGAGAGGCTTTTTCACCATCTCAGTTAAGAATCACTTTTCCTTTCCATGTCAACAAATTATCCTACTCCGGCCCACCCAGGAAAAGCAGGAAGATTTTAAGACTTTAAGACTTATAGGAATCTATTCAAAACTTCAGGCCCCAATATCACTGGAACTGGAGGAAAGGGAAGAAAGAAAGCAATCACACGTGAAATTCAAATGTTCCACTCCTCCACTAGAGCGTCACAAGTCAGATGACCAGAGAAAGATCTTCCAAAAACTCTAGTAAGCACAATTAAATGCAGCAACTGTGCTTTTAAACCAGATGTGAGAAAGCTTAAACTACCTAAAAACTGTTTAAAAGATAAACATGCTGATTGCAAAAAGGTAACAAGACCTCAAAAATCAGAAGCAAAAATTTAGAATAGTTTGAAACTTCTATCACCACATTTATGGGATTTTTGCCTTCATTTCATCACTGAAATACGACTTCTCCCTGAGCCAAAAGGGTAACTACTGTTTCAAACCTCTACACACACACACACACACACACACACACACACACACCATTGTCTTTGCCTGCTCTGTAACTGAAAAGCTTACAAAGAAGAACTAACACACACAACATTGTCTTTGCCTGCTCTGTAACTGAAAAGCTTACAAAGAAGAACTAACCCTGGATCATTCAAGTGAGAGATCATGTGAGGTTCTTAAAAATATGCAGCAACTCTTGCAGCCATGGGGTGGAAAAGGAATCAGAAGCTGAAAGAACAAACAGTTCAGAGTAATCAAAAGTTCATTTCCTCTTCTGTTCGAAGAAGTATGCAGAAGTCATACCAGTTTGATTTATTTTCATGACCAAGAGAATATGTTCTTCAGGAAGCCAAAGCATCACTAAATCCAGAATTGAGGATTTGATTCCTCTAGGTCTTCAGTCTCATGCCTCATTTCTAGAGAACCCTAAAGACATCGTCAGTGGTTTTTTAGAAGCTCTCATAGAATCTGGCACCTGTGAAAGGGAATCTGATCTTGGTTTTAATACAAATTAAGTTGTCCATTTGTAAGATCAAACAGCATCTATAAAATCCAGTGCTTTCATCAAGAAAGAGTAGAGATTACAGTGCCTGCTTTACAGAATAAAGATCATATGAGGTGGCTGAAGAAAGCTGTCAGGTACTTAGAACATCAGAAATGGTGGTGGCCTTCTCATCCACTCATCCTTCAAACCATCTTCTACTTCTCATACAACTTAAAGCAATTATTGTAAAGGACTTGGGGCTGGAGAGCTGGCTCCATGGTTAAGAGCAAGTACTTCTGCAGAGGACCTGAATTCAGTTCCCAGCACCCACATCAGGTGGCTTACAACTGCCTATAACTCCAGGGGATTCTAATGCACTCTTCTGGCCTTTACAGACACCAGAACTCATGTGCACACACAGACACACATAATTAAAAACAAAATTAAAACTTTTAAATAGAGGATGTAGGGAAGTATTATTTAAAGTTCATAAGCATGGAATTGGACAGATGGTTCAGGGCTGCTCTTGCAGAGGACATGGGTTAATTCCCAGCACCCACATGGCAGCTAACAACTGTCTGTAGCTCCAATTCCAGGGGAATCTGATGCCTTTTTCTAACCTCCATAGGCATTGCATGACATGGGTGCATTTACATGCATGTAGGGCAATACGCTCATAAACATAAATGTATTTTTTAAAATGAAGCTGGTAGGGGTGGGGGTATAAAGATATTCTGTATAAAATATACAATAATTCAATAAAAACAAATTTTAAAAAATAAAGTTCAGGAGCACATCAGAGAAAGCTGGTTGTTTATGAATCATTAGTTACCATCCACTTAAAATCATATTTTCATAATCAGCACTGTCCAACAGAATGTTCCATGTACTTAAATCAGCACTGTATATAGCCACATACTGTCACTGAGCACTTGAAAATAATAGCTGGTATAACTGAAGACCTAAATGTTCAGTTATGTTTGGTGTAAATGTAAATTCCATACACAGCACTCCAGGTTACTGTGTTGGAGAGCACAGGTTTGGAAATAAGTATTAATATTTGAAGGATGCAGGACTCTTCCTTTCTGACCTTTTCTAACCACCAGGAAATAAGCAGTTATAGTGGGAATCTGTTAGAAAATATCCCGAATAACCATGACATTACTAAGTTGCAAGCCAAGAATCTTCAAGACAGGATGATACTGATGCAAAAATCAAGGAGATCTACAACAGAACTTAAATGAAAATATAGAACACAGAACTTAGTTGATAAATGGATATACTTGTATAATCTTTGGTTGTATAGACTTGTCCTCCGCCTGGCAAGCTAGATGGGCAAGCAATGGACAGATGCCTTCTCCTCCAGCTGGGATTCACCCACTTGCTTCAATCATCACAAACTAATTTGACTATGGACGCTCCATAGGAGGGGAGGGGCAGAGAAAGTCAGTCATGCTTTCCATCCAACCAGCTGGCCTGAGTGGTTTATGAGGGCGGGACTAAAGATAAGGACAGGGGAAGCTGGAGAGAGGGGTTGGCCCTCACCATCTTAGGCACCCACTGGGAGGTCACAGAAGTTCTGGCCAAAATGTAGAAGAAAGCCCACACATACCCACACCTTTTTGTAAGTAGTCCCCACCCCCCTACTCTGTTAGTAAGCCCAATAAATTCTTTGGTTCCCCAAACTGTAGTTTGGGGAAATATTATCTCAATTTGTTGTAAGGATGGTGGGAGGAGGGGGCCTGAAGCCTCATGCACTTCCCAAAAGTGAAATTTAGCTACATCTTTATATATTTGTAGGTAGAATTTCTGCAGATAAACACTGGCTGCTAATTTATGATATGCATGTAATACAGAGAAATGTACTCACACTTACAATTGGAAATAGTGGGGATCTGTACAAACAGCACTTTAAAAATGGGGCCAACAAGATGGCTCAGCAGGTAGAGAGGTGTTTGTCACCAAGAGTGACAATCTTGAGTTTAATTTCTGGGACCCACGTAATAGGAGAGGACTGACTCCCATAAGCGGTCCTCTGACCTCCACATGTGTGCTGTGGTGTGTGCACATCCACACACATACACACAAATAAATGTAATTTTTAATTTTTTTAAATGGTAGACTCCAGACGATCTATAGGAGTTTACTAAAATGTCTTCCAACGCTTTATATGTACACTGGAATTTTTCCTTAAAATAATCATAGACATTTTGACAAATCACAGTTGTGCCAGAGGCATCTGCCAAGGCATTTTAACTGCTATACTGGCCCCTAGAGCATCCTCCCATGAACGGATAAAGTTAGAACACATGAGGATGAAGTAGTTGTCTGTACACACCTCTTCACAAAGCAAACCACCTGGAATTTATGAGTGAGATCTGGTGTTAGTCTGTAATTGATCTCAGATAATATGAAAACATCATTTCCTTGGAACACCTGAAATAAGCATTAAATTATCTTTGGTGATTTAATCATTTGACTGGTATCTGTCAGTTCTAGAAAAATCTAATTTAGCAGAAACAAAAGTATATCTTAGCTGTTGCCTCTACCTCCCGAGCCAGACAGGAAAGGAGAGACAACTTTTGGCACTTTTAAGATCTATTTTCTCTTTCCAAAGTAGATCCCCATTTGTACATATCGATTTACAATGCCATAAAATACACAAATTAGACAGCATGTGGGGTAAAAATATTGAGAAGTCATAGGCCAAAACTTTGGACTTTAAAAAGTTATCTAAAATGTTACCATTGCACGAATAAGTACCCAGACCCTCTGTGAGAAATGAGCATATGAGTTAAAACTGTGCTTGAAATTGTCAATGAAGAAGAAACCTGAGGCTGCTGAGATGGCTCAGCAAGTAAAGGCACTTGCCACCAAGCCTGAGTACAATCCCCAGATCCCACATGGTGGAAGGAGAGAACCAACTCCAAGTTATCCTCTGACCTTTACATATGTGCTGTGGTATAAGCACATCCACACACATACACCAAATAAACAGACAAAATTTTAAAAAAGAAAAAGAACAAGCCTTGGATTGGGATATACATCAGAGGAACGGCACTTGCCTAGTACAACAAGGTGCTGAATTCAACCTTCAGGGGGAGGGAGGGAAATTTGATATTGTGTAACCATGAAATACACAGAGTAAGGGGAAATCATTGTAGCACTTACAAATTTATTGATCCCACAGGAGACGACAGGATAAGAAAATCAAAGTTGAAGGTCAACATCTTGGTTACAGAACAGTTGTTTCCCAGGTGAATTTCATCAGCTCGGACTTCTGTGTCATTATCAAAAGGTTTTCTTATTCTCACTATTAACCAATCATCCGAACACATAGATGTCACTGCTAAAAAAAATTCAAACAATAATGTGTTAGCACATTTTTGCAGAGTAGTGCATCTCTCAATTCTCACCAGAGAAACTTCTTTTTTTTAATTTTTATTCATTATTTTTATTTTATGTGTATGTGTGTAAGTGCACCTGTGTTGATCAGTCCCCATGGAGAACAGAAGATGATGGATCCCCTGGAACTGCAGTTACAGTTAGCTGACATGTGGGTGCTAGGATTCAAACCCAGTCTTCTGCAAGAACAGCCTATGCTCTTAACCACTGAGCCAGCTCTCCAGCCTCCAGAGAAGCTTCTTACAGCAGGTGGCTATATACACAGAGACCCACAACTAGTCAATGTGAGAATAAGAGTTCAGAGTGCTCAGCCCTAAAGGGACACCTATATCACACACTCCTCTCAAGACTCAGGGATCACTGCAGAAGAGGGAGCAGAAAGATTGTAAGAGCTAAAGGTAGTGGATAAATACAAGGAAACTATGTTTTCTGGACACAACAGGGCATTCTCACATATGATCCCACAGTCCTGGTAACAGCATGGACAAGACCTGTTCAAACCCAAGTCAGACAAAAACCCAGCATGAATAGGGGAGGTGGGCAAGATGTCCCAGTCGAGGAACCATTGGCAATTGTTAGAGAGTCAGTTTTAAGGATGTGATGTCAGGTAGGTTGACCAGGCTCCCAGGCAATGGAGCTATATCCAAGAGTATTTGGGAAATACAAATTGGACGCAGTAGGCCTTTAAACTGTATAACTCCAGTTTGAGGGGATCTGATGCCATCTTCTGACCTCGAAAGGATGCACAACACGGATACATTTACATACATGCAAACAGTATATCGTGCACATAAAAAAGTAGAAATAAAAGAAAATGTCAGGAATGGTGGCACATGCCTTTAATCCCAGCACTCGAGGTAGAGGCAGGCGGATCTCTGTGATTTCAAGGCCAGCCTGGTCTCCATAGCGAATCCAGGCCAGCTAGGGCTACAGGGAGACCCTGTTTCAAAAAGACAAAAAAAAAGAGTCTTTGCCTCAATGAATAAGTATGCATGCTTACACATGTGCACTCACATCTTCACAGACATGTGCCACACACATGCATACACACATGCACACCACACACATGAAAAAAGAAAAAAAGAAAAGAAAAAGAATATATAACAGAAATACAAAGCAAGGCACATACACAGCTTTCAGTTTTCTAGTATCCAAATTCAAAACATAAACAGGCAGATGTGATTCTTTAAACATGGTTCTTTTACCTCAAAGCACCCTCAATGCAATTATTAACAGATAATAAAACAAAAATTGAAATTTTACATTCATTTTTCTTTCTGGTTTTCTGAAATCAGCATGCATTTTATAGCACAATGTACATTCCATATCTGAAGTGTGCAGTAGTCATAAGCAGGAAAGCTATACAGCAGGTCTGTATTTTATGTTGTTATGAAAACCCATATCAAAAGTTAAATTCTTCTATGATTTAAATTCAATTTCTTTTCAGCCATTTCATTCCCATTTAAAAATAGATATAGCAACAATTACCTTCCTTTTAGAGTTTTGTGGTGATTAAATGAGAAAGGGTATATGAATATCTTAAACACTTCCTGAAACTTAAGTGCTCAGCAATGTTCACTAAAATAAAAGTATATAATAGTCTTTGTGGAAGTGACTGTTCTACCCATCCATCATCCATCCACCCCAGTATAAATGAACTAAATCAACCTGGACAAGAATTTTAATACTATGTAAAATGCTGGTGCACACAGAGTTCGATCTTATATTAACCTGAATAAGTTGTTCTTATAACCCAATAACATTTTTACAACTAAATATGAAGCGTATATTGCAATCTCTAAAATTAGCACCATTAAAGATCTATTTTTATGTGTATGTATGTCTGGGTGAGTGAATGCCATGTGAGTACAGGTGCCTGAGGAGGCCAGAAGAAGGCATCACACCCCCTGAAACTGGAGTTACAGATGGCTGTGAGCTGCCTGACTTGGGTGCTAGGAACCAAACATGGGCAAGACCAGCAGGTGCTCCTAACCACTGAGACATTTCTCCAGCCCCCAAATCAATATCTTTAGATGTTTATCTCTAGCTAAATGGCATGCATCTGGTCTTCAACATGGATTTTATTTAAATGACTTTCCCAATCACAGGGCTATGACATCAGCTATTTTTTTCTTTAATCTCAGGGCACATGGTAGTATCCAAGATCTGTAGATTTCCTTGTTAAAACATTAGAAAGGGGGCCTCATTTGGGATAGAAACCTGAAGCTTAATGACTTGGCAATTGGATGGCTAAAAGGGGGCAGAAAATAAGTATAGCATGAAACATATAGTTTGGAGAATAAATTTCTTTGCTAGAAATACAAATAGTACACATTGCTTATGAGGAATTTGACAGACACTGATGGCAAAAACAGTACTGATGGACCTAGAATTGAGATTTGGAGTGGGAATGAAACATGTCCACGATCCTTTACCTCCTAGCCTCAGAATGATGATATAATCTTGACGCTCCATATCCAAATAGGAATAATTGTCAATTTCTTCTTTGTATTCAGTCCAAGGAGCTGTGAACTAAGTAACTCAACAATGGATACATTTACCTTAAAACATAAAGCTTTAGGAGGAAAGCTAGCTGTCATTTATGGGAGAGATACCATACCTACCAGAAGCTCTATTTTCTCTCCATTGATAATCCCAACTTTAAATAGTTATATTGTTTATGCACCAGTTCTAGGTCAAATGTCAACACAGATTCTTGTTATTGAGTACAAGGAGGTTCCTGAATAAGCCACATAATATATTCATGGCCCAGATGAAAAGTGAGGTGCTCAAACCATTAAATAACTCACAAAGTCTATCAGATCTGAATCATGGTATGTCTGTCCCTAACACAGAGTCAGGTCAATGCTCTTACTCATAAATAGTATAATTGATGCTGTAGACTACACAGTTCCCCCTCAATCCACTGAGAATCTGAATAACAATGAGTAAATTAGTCTCTATTCACAGATAATCTTCCATCTTCTTTTAATAATGCTAGTTGAGTCATTCATCCAAGGCCTTAATCACAGTCAAGTATATGGATGGGCAATATCAGCACCACCTGGGCATCCTAGCCCTATTTAATCAAAGTAAGGTCTATGTGTAGACAATATCTGCATCACCTGGGAATCCCTGCCTTACTTAATCACTTATCCGAGGCTTTATCAGTCAATCAGGTCCATGAATAGGCAATCTCAGCATAACCACTCTACTTAATCACTTCATAGTTTAACACCCTGAGATCTCTCTCTTTCCCCTCTCTCTCCCCTACATATGAGAACACCTGATGTAAGAGATGCCAATGTTCAGAGCTGCAAGATGGCCAAGTGCTATAACAGAACTCACTGAAAAGATACTTGCATATAGCCATTCATTTAATTTTCCTAACTGCTTTCTAGAGCAAAGACTAAGTAAAGCCTTCATGTGCAAACATTATGGCAGACGAGTTGGTAATACTACTGGAGCTGGAGGTCAGCTTTTAAATGATTTTACTCACTAGATTCCTGATGCTAATTTAATGTAACTCGAGAATAGCTAATTCCCAACCCACTTGTCATTTTTAAGGTATCCCAAGTAACTTTTCATTCATGGACAAGCTTAGACACATGGACTTCAAGTAACTAACCTAATTCTACCCAATTAATAAATAACCAAAGTTGGAGTTCATCTGTTTCTAGAACCTTGGTGTATAAAAGAAGCATTTATAACTCATTTAATTCAGCTCTGTACTGTAACTGTTATTCTGTCAAACATTCTCCCTTCCCAGACACATCCTACTCCCCCCACCCCCCACACACACACCCCTCTGGCCGAGCCACCACTTTTTCTCATTCTCTCAACTTATACAAACCCAAGTTATGAAAGAAAGATGGGGCTAGTTGTTAGAAAAGAAATAATGAAAGGCAGGATTGCTGTGGGTTTGAGGCCAACACCTAGGCTAGTAATTCCAAGTCAGTCCAAGCTACATACACAAGATCCTGTCTCAAAAATTGTTTTATAAAGGAAGGTGGAGGCAGATGGTTCAGCCAGAAGGTCACATACCAGCGCAGCCTCAAACAGGCAGGAGAACCAACTCCTGAAAATTGACCTCTGGTCTCTACACACACAAAATAAAGCTATAAATTTTTAAAAAAGAGGGATGATGGTGCACATCTTTAATCCCAACACTTGGGAGGCAGAGGCAGAAGCAGGCAGTCCTCTGAGTTCAAGGCCAGCCTGGTCTACATAGTGAGTCCCAGGCCAGTTGGGGCTAAAGGAAGACTCAAAAGACAAAATATATATATATA